GGTCACAAAATACTGCTGCAGCTACATCTCCGGCATTTATATCTGAATATACTTCATACAGGAAGGAACAAATTGCATCTTGGGTGTTCTTTTTAGCCTGAAATCCAAATTGATTTTCTTTGATGATTTTATGAGCCATAAGGATTTCATTGAGCCTTTTTTTCATTAGTTTTTCAATTATTTTTGCTAGGGTCGGTATAAGTGATATTGGACGATAGTTAGAAGGATCATCTAAGTTTCCGCCTTTGTGCAAAGGAATTATCTCTATTATCCTATCTGTATTATTTGCAACTTTGGAAAGGTTTTTGAGATTCCACTGGAGCGAGTTATATATCGGCATGTTAGTTGCAATATAAGAATAAACCAACACGGTTTTATGAAAAATCGTTCAACGGTCACCAATCTTCTGACTGTAACCCAATATATTGCTGAATCTATTGAAAATAAGGCCCAAACTGAGGTTATTTACACAGACTTTTCTAAGGCCTTCGACAGGCTTGACCATGGCATTCTACTGAACAAACTAGTAGCCTTTGGATTATCTACATCCTTAATCGCACTCTTTCAGTCCTATCTGTGGGATCGAAAACAATATGTTCAGCTCAATGGTTTCAAATCTACCGAATATAGTGCTTCTTCCGGTGTTCCACAAGGGTCAAATCTGGGACCGTTGCTATTCAATATCTTCATTAATGATATTGCAGATGTTATAGATGTGTATTTCCTTTTGTATGCCGATGATCTAAAACTATACTGCCTCGTTGAGGACATAGATGATTGTGTGAACCTCTCAGCAAACGTAGGACGGATTGTAGAATGGTGTTATCGAAATAACTTGTCGCTAAACCCGGATAAAAGTAAGGTTATGTCCTACAGTTCAAAAACGAACATATTGATCATTGATTATTCAATAGAAAACGTTTCTTTGGTGAGACCAGAAACATTTACTGAACTTGGCGTCACATTTGACACTCCACTATCATTTAAAAGGCTTTTTGATGATGTTGTAACCTCCTCCTGTCGTTTGTACGGATTAATTGCACGAAACAGTAGTGATTTCAAAGAAACTTCGACCTTAAAAACCTTATTCTATGCTTTCATAAGATCAAAGTTAGAATACACTTCAGTTGTGTGGATCCCCTTTTATCAATATCATATTGATAGAATAGAAGCAATTCAATGACGGTTTTTAAAACTGCTCTGCTCTAAATTCCTACAAAAGGATAACTTTTTCAGTCTCGAAAAAAGGCGTATAAAATTATCAAAAGCATAGTTGACTGGCCAACATTACTGGAAAAGTTTAATATTTGCATTCCTAGAATATGTTCCCGACACCCGAGTAATTTCTATACAAAAACATCTCGCACAAATGTTCTGGAGAATTCTCCAATCCATACCATGTGTAAAGTGACAAAGTCTGTTAGCGATAATTTAGATATATTTAGTTGCAATATGTCAGATATAAAATCCCACTTCCGAAAATAATTGTTTTGTCACCTATAATGAATATAAAATGTGTAGTCTTTATAGTCACTTGTTTGTATTGTTTGTAGTGTTTGTAGACTTTACAGTCACTTGTTTGTGATGTATTTATTATACTCTGTTATTTCCTGCTCTGTAATTGGGCTATGTCCTGTAGAGT